GAAATCACTTAAAATAACATAAAATACCTAAAAATAAAAAATACAGCTGAGCCATAAAATAGCACTAGATGAAATCTTTGATTTTAGCTTTGGAAGAACATAAATCAAAATCTAAAGCATGGCTGTCAGGAGGATCACCATAATTATCCATTTGAGAGAGGGTTGGAGTGCAGGGTATTCTCTTTCATTGTTCAAACTGAGCTCAACTCCTGATGAAAAAAGGCCTTCACAAAGCCTCTGCTATTGTGTACATAGTTTATACTAAGTGACCCATAGGTTGAGGAGGCGGTGACCGTGGCGGTGTAGGTGGAAGCGGCGGTGGAGGAGGAGGAGGTTGAGGAGGAGGTAGCCAACACTGTTTATGCTCAACTCCTGATGCATGGAGAAAAGGCCTTCACAAGCCTCTGCTATTTTGTACATAGTTTATACTAAGTGACCCATAGGTTGAGGAGGTGGTGACCGTGGCGGTGTAGGTGGAAGCGGCGGTGGAGGAGGTAGCCAACACTGTATATGTGTATGTATGTATGTATGTATGTATGTATGTTATAAAAAAAGTAAACTGTTCAGCAGAGCGACTGACCCGTGCGTGCTGCATCTGAAACTCCACTATCGCCTGCTGCTGCTCACACAGTCTCATGAGGTGGTGAGCGGGAAGGCCGAAAGCAATGCAGACAGGCGAGCAGCAGCAGGGTGAGAATGCCAAAAGCGCGCACAGACAGCCCGGGTATCTAGGTATACACCGTGGCATCACAAGGGCCACCTAGAACTGGCTCAACTCCCATCAAGCCAAGTTCCCAGAGGAGCTCACCCAGCTCGTCATGCTAGAGCACTTTTTCAATGTGCTCCCCAACGATAAGGCGACGACACATTCGTATGTCAATCCATATCAACTTTCGATGCCATTGACTGCACCTACCATGGTGACCACGGGTAATGGGGAATCAGGGTTCAATTCCGTACAGGGACCATAACAAATGGCTACCACATTCGAAGAAGGCAGCAGGCGCGCAAATGACCAACTCCCGATGCGAAAAATAACAATACAGGACTCTTTAGAGGCCCTGTAATTGTAATGACTCCACTTGAAATCCTTTAACTCTGATCAATTGGAGGGAAGTCTGGTGCAAAGCCACTGACCCGTGCATGCAGGCGAGCAGCAGCAGGGTGAGAACGCCGAAACCGCGCACAGCTGCTACAGTGAATGTCACATCCTGTTCCAAGTTGAGGATCAGTCTGGTGATGGCTTCTGGTATCCAGTACTCTTTTTACTGAAGCTGCATCAGGGTCCTGGTATGTGGCCGCACAAACGCTGGTGTTCAACACCAGGTGTCGTGCGATTACCCTGTACCAGACCCTGCTAATCCATTCCACACTGTGACTCCTAACTTCTACATCAGGCATACTGGGTCCCGGTCGTCCAACCGCCGCCCAGACAGTGTCTGGGTCCCGGTCACCGGACTGCGAAACTGCAAATGGCTTGTTAAATCTGTTATGGTTCTTCTTTATCGCTTCAACTGTTACTTGGATAACTGTGGGAATTCTAAAGATAATACATGCTGTTGTGGTCGTGACCTAAATATGAATATTAATCTCTTAATACATAATAATTAAGCAATACGGAACAACATTAATATTTTTATAATTCATGGTATTATGGTCGAATATGTGGATAGAAAATACACAAAACGTTATAATATTGAATGTATATTTAATATAACTATAATAAATAAACAGATGCTAGCGGAATGTCAATTTCAATAATTATACAATACAATACTAAATGTATATTTAATATAACTATAATAAATAAACAGATGCTAGCGGAATGTCAATTTCAATAATTATACAATACAATACTACACAAAACACTATTGGTTGCTAAATATTATACAAAAGGCTATTACAATTGCTAACTGTTACAATACAAACATATTACTTACAAGGCCCCAGCCAAAGGGCTGGGGCTAAGTCAGAGCTGGTGCTACATGATCAGTCAGGTACAGGCAAACAGAGCTAGCTTCTCCTAACATCTGGGTTTTTATTCAGTGTAAGTAGGCTGGCCTGTGATGT